TTAAATCACTTCCTAGATTAGAATTCCTACGACTATGTATTAACTTCGATGTTGTGCCTACTTTTGCTCAAGTCGAACGAAGAAAAGCTCGAAAATGGAGAAAGTCCGCCGACAACTACCAGCGAGAGGTCTTGGTCGAAGAACTACGCTCCAAGCAATCCCATTTGCTTCATTTAAAGGGACTTGTGCACAAGGAACACGAAGCTTTGAGGGAGGAGTGCTCGACGTTACGCTACGTGGCCGCCACGCACGTTCTATCAGCTTCACGTAATGCTTTATACAAAGACTTGATGCGTACCCACTGTGATAAGATCGGTCGTCTTATCTCAAAGAAGTTTGATGTTGATGAACATATTAAGAATATCTCTTCATATCGTTTATCATTCTTCGAGAAGCTTGTCATATGCAGAGGTTTGAAATTTTCCTTGCCACATAAGGTCTCACCAATTGACGTTCAAGCCAGCTTCGAGAAATTGTATTGGAAAATTGATGATAAATTATCAGATCCTAATCTTAAAGAACTAGCTGCGTCCACACTACGATCCATTGCTTTGAATTACATCCAAAGAAAGAGCCCCAATCCACCTAAAGCTCTTGTTAAGGCGCTCAATCTTCTAAAAGAACGAGATGACATTGTTATCACAAGGCCTGACAAGGGTTCTGGTACCGTAGTAATGGATAAAGAGGAATATCTGCGCCTTTTACGTCAAGCATCTATAGCTGATACATCAAAATTTACATCGATTGATCCAAACCGTCCGAAAACTCGAGGCCGTCCACCTAAGCATTTTCACCCTCTTCTGCAGAAAGAAAAAGAGTTGAAAGCAGTTTTACATCAAGTTCTTCCCGAAAAACTGGCTGAATCGTTGTCTCCCAAGGGTTCCCGACTAGCGCACTTGTATGGATTACCAAAAACTCACAAGCCTACCCTGAGTATGCGTCCGATTCTGTCAGCCTCAGGGACATACAACTATAAGTTAGCTAAATGGTTGGAGGAAAAGCTCAAGCCTCTCTCGATGAATGAATACACCATTGACGACGCTCTTGTTTTCTCTAAAGAAATTCGCGAACATCCTGTCCTTGAAGGTGATATACTGGCTTCATACGACGTAACGTCATTGTTCACAAATGTCCCAGTTCAGGAAACCATCAACATCCTTGTCGAGAAAGCCTTCACCGATAATTGGTTCAATTCAACGTACGATCTCAACTTACAGAAGGATCAGCTCACTCAACTTCTCAGAATGGCTTCCACTGACCAACTTTTCCAATTTGATGGTCAACTTTACGAACAGTGTGAAGGAGTTGCTATGGGGTCCCCCCTTGGTCCTTTGTTGGCGAACGTGTTTATGTGCCATCTGGAAGAAAGACTATCTAACGATGATTTAATTCCTTCTTATTACAAGCGTTATGTCGACGATACGCTTGCAATAATGCCTGGACTCGATGCAGCTGTAAGTTTCCTCAATGTACTCAATGGACTCCACCCTAGTATTCATTTCACTATGGAACTTTCCAACAACGATTCAATTCCTTTTATTGGAACGTTGACTTCATTCGACTTTCTACTTTCCGGCAAGTAAAACTAATGATGATAATTGTGATTACGATAATAACTGATTCACATTGATGCTCTACATTCAATCATTAATTTTATTGCAGCATAATCTAAATATGTTTTTTTTTACAATTTAAAAGTGGATGTTTAATAAAACGAGGAATATTTGGTTACTTGTTCTTATTTTGAAAAAGTTGCAACAACCTTACTGCATAGCATTCTATTTTCATAATCATCTACATTCAAAGCCTAAAGAACAGCAACAAACAAACCAAAATTTCTCACCACTAAGTTATCTTAAACAATTTTTTGGCACACATTCAAAGGCTTTTTTTTCGGCTGTCTTTTATTCAAATCCTAACTACAAATAATCTGTTAATAACGCATTTATTATACGATGCACATATTTTAAAAACAAAAAAAATTACAAAACAGGAAATTACGAAACAGAAAATTACAAAACCTAAACCCAAGAAGTGACAGCAAGAGCGACTGAACTCGATGAAAACCGAAAAAACCTGATAACATTAATGAAGACCGAAAAACTATTATTTTATGATCGAATAAATGATAAAAGAACTAAAACATTACTTTTTTGAGCCCCTTCCAGAATAAGTGACTCCTGTACGGCCCTACTTGATGAAACTAATTAAAATAACGTAACTTTCCTTTCTACCTATCTCTATTACTCTCGTTTTTCCAAATACATGCTGGTTGTTTAAAAATGAAGTCCCTTTCTGTCATGACAGTTCCGCTCCGGATAAAAAGAAAAAAAAAATACAAAAAACAAAAAACACAGAAAACCAAACAAAAAACAAAGAATAGAGAATAAATGTGACGCTTAATTATAAAGTAAATCGATACGGTAAATGAAGATAATGGAGGAACTAGTTTCACTAATTTCTTAAATTATTTTCTCAAATAAAAATCTCATTTGGGTAGAACGGGAGGAGATTTTGCTCGTTATTTAATCTACTTGCCTCGGCGCGATAATCGCTGAGCACTTCTCTGCATCTTGATTCAATTTCTTTCATGGACGCCTTACCCATCCTTCGCCTAACGGATTCTACCACTCTCTCGTACCTTTCTTGGTCAATTACACTTAATTCGCAGATTCCTATGTAGTCCTTTAAGGTGTTCCGAGGGACGCCGGATATTCGCATGGACTCTGCGAGGGAGTACTGATTCCTTTTTATTATTTCGAGAACGCCAAAGTACCTCTCTTGAATCGATTGTAAACTCGATGTTTTGGCCAATCCTATAATATCAGAAAGAAAAATGTCCTATTTACGCATTCATCGTCATTCCTTTCCCCAATTCATGAGTTATTGAAACCTTACCTACACTAAATGATAACTTTGGCAGATATTTACCACATCATTGTGCATCTAGAATTAGCAGCTGTGATCGTATACTTACTCTGTGACAATCAGGCGATATTGCGCGATAGTGAGATACAAAGTGCAAATTGTTGCTAAAACTAATTAAGTTCTATATATATTTTGGCTTCTTTATTTACTCAGGCACTTCACAAAAGTCTTCCGGCAAAGGCTCGGGGCAATTTTCAGATAATTTGTCCAAGATAAAATGCCCTTCACTATGCTTGGTGTCTCAGTACATATATTTTTAATCAGCGAACCAGTTGATTATAAATTTATTAACGCGATAAGGATGTTTGGCTTGCTTATTTTCCTCTCGTCCTCTTGCCGAGTATAGTTCGTGAATGTTTGTAATAACAAAACAAAAATTAATCCTGTTTTTGAACAGCTTTTAAAGGTATTCTATGTGGACAGAAGCGTGAATATTTCGTAGTCTAACATGCCTTTAGCGTTTTTTTTTCCCTTCGAATTGCATACCGAATAGCCATTTTGGAAGAATGTAATGAGTCTTATTCATCACTAATATTAACCCCAAACAAGAAACCATCGCGTAATTAAAGCTACTACTGTCACTGTATGATAATTTTATGCTCTTTCAGTGCGTGGCCATAAACACAGCTACGATGACAGACCCTCCCTGAGTCGCAAGTGACCTTGAACGAAAAGTAACTCCCTCCTCCTCCCCAGGGTAAGATATGACATAACCGCACTTTCGCCAAATATCAAATTTCGCGCTTGTGCAGTGATCGGCTGTGTTCGAATTTACCTCGTGAATTTCGCTATTATAGTGGTAGCGAGTTTGAATTTCCCTCGTGAATTTAAAGTCATTGTTTGGTGCTAAAGCCATTGTTTCAAGATACGCGTATTGGTCAACACGCATATTTTTGAAAAAAGATAAATAGATACGTGCCTCGCTTCCAAAAGTCAGAAGGGAAGGCAGCAAGAATTGTAAGTAGTTTTAATTAGTGATTTTCTTGTAACTTTCGCTATTCCTGTTGTTAGTTGTATCTGCGAAATATTGTAACGTATGTATTTTCTTTCCTTTGTAGTTTGACAACGTGAAACACAAAACTTAACTGTTATTAAAGTCAGTGTTTATTCAAGAATCTGCTTAGTCGACGTCTCTTCCGGAAGGATAAACATATATACAATTCAGAAGCAAATGACAAGAACATTGTTCCATTCAAAATACATGATAGGGAAACGTTCGTAAAGTAAAAAGCAAGAGCATAGTTTCTTTCAAGGATGATGGGTTGGGGGCTAATAGTAAAGAGAAAGGTGGCTAATTGTCCAAATACTGAGGGCTAATCGTCTGGGGCTAATTGTCCAGGGGGTTAGTTGTTCGGATACCGATACCAGTAATCGACATCCTAGTGCGGGTAGGTAGGTAGGTAGGTATGTAGGTAGGTACGTAGGTAGGTAGGTAAGTACGTAGGTAGGTAGGTAGGTATACTTTATTAAATGAAAGAAACAGGCTAGCCCTAAGAAAAAATCAGCTGGTTTACATAGAGGGCGTGTTTGTACATACATAAAAAAGAGACTGCAACAAATAATACAAGATTAATAATGTCGTTGGTCTATAATCTTAAGAAATCAACTATTATGAACTAAATTATAATCTAAGTTGGAAAAACCATATCTATACCCTAGAACTAAGTAAAACTGTCGGTCTAATTGCGAAGCTAAGACATTTCGTTCCTAATCGAACTCTTCTTGATATTTATAAATCCCTCATTGCACATGTTATCACGTATGGATTAACTTCTTGGGGAACTCCATCTAAGACCTTGTTAAATAATATTCTTGTCTTACAAATACGCGTATTCCGTCTTATTCACTTTACCCCAGTAAGCGAGCATGCAATACCCTTTAAGTTTTTTTGAAAGGAAAACTTCTTCCACTAGAATTACAATATTATGAAAAACTTGCTAATTTAATGTACGACATAAATGCTAATTCTGCACCAAGTAATATTTCGAATTTGTTTTAAAAAATAACCAGCGTTCACTCTTACGGCACACGTTCATCAATGTGTGAGCATTTTTATACTAAAATGCGCTTAGTGTTAAAAATAAGGCTTTTTCACGTGTTGGCATTAAAACCTGGGATGAGATACCAACTAGTCTCAAAACCTTATCAAAGAACTCTCTTAAAAAATCCATTAGAACAAAATTAATGAAAATTCTAGAAACTGAGAACTCCCATGTTGAAATGCATATCATAACTTCAATACCCGTACTGGCCTTCATACATATCAATATGACTATCCCAGCTCAGTTTTTTATCTATCTGAACTCCCAGGAATTTCTGTTTAAGTTCGTTAAACGGGTATGTTGTTTACCATAACGGATTATTCGGTATTCTTATTGTTCGAATTATACTTGGAGCCAATAAACATCAATTTAGATTTATACCCCTTGTACACTTGATCTTCGATATGGTCAGTAATTGAATCGATACTTTACCGACACTAAAACGAAACTTGACCGAATACTTGACCGATACTTGACAGATACTTGACCGATACTTGACCGATACTTGAACGAAACTTGGCCGATACATGAGCGATAGTCGATCGCTACACATCGGTCGACATATCGGCCGATAGATGACCGATATATCGGTGGACTATCGGTCGATATGTCGACCGATAGTCGGTGGACTATCGGTCGACTGTCGACCGACTATCGGCCGACATATCGACTGGGGCGGCCGTTAGTACACATGATCCAAATATTTTTGGTAACATAAACTTTGTCAATTGAATTTTTTACTTTAACTAGTTTATTTTCATTGAGATATAAACTATAGTTGTTTTCTCGGAGGACCTGCTTCTTGCTCCTGTCGTCAGACTCTTTATGAGGAGTGTGCTGAGAGGCTCTTTTTCATTAGCGTGATAGGGTGTGCAGAACAAGTTATAAACGAACCTCAAACGCTTTTACACTTGAAACTGCACTGAGAATCAAATATCTGTGATCGGTTACATGGTCTTCGTCATTCAGAGTTCCTTCGTCAACCTTTAGAATCCTTGTTTTGAATGACTTTTTTATTTTCTACATTCTTCGTCATTCAAAATGACTCACGTTCAGCGAATCCTGGCCTTTACCAAAAGCGAAAGGAGGGTTCTTGACTCTAATCGTCCGCCCTTTTATTATTTTTTTAGAAGCTTCATTGTTTTGTCTATCCCGATGGCGAAATTCGTTATCACAACTCGCATCACCACGACACCAACTTAAAGGTTAATGTTTTAAAAGTTGCTTCCAGCCGTGCTCAAAATTTGTTTCAATAACGCTACCGGCAAAAACTTTAGAAAATTAATGAATTCAGAGTTTCATCTAATACTTCAGAATTAATAAAAATGAATTCTCCTTTTCATCCTTTCCGATGCTCGACTAGATATCCTGCTAGTCTTTTTATGTCTTGACGTTTTACCCTCCCCATTTTCGACCTTATTCGATCGAGGTCTTTGTCTATGCAGAGTGATGTTTAATGGCCCAGTGACAAAATTGCACTGTGCATTAAGCCCGTCCATTTCACAGAGTGAAATTAAATGGATGTAGTAATTTATAGCTATACAAAAGGCGACTTTTTAAACTGACGCCAAAAAGTTTCATTTGGAATCGTATATGACTTTTTGAATTGATAAAAAAGAGGAATAGAATCATCACGTTTTGGGTTGTCATTAGAAGCAATGTCTCTACTTGTTCCACTAGACAGGTCGTTTTTCAAGTTTCTCCCTTTTTAAAGATCTTATCTCGTTTCACTCTCGTAAAATTTGCATGCTTTACTCACTACACAAAAAGATGCTTTTTATCCTCAACTTTTGATGGAAAGACAAAATTAAGGCGTCTCCACAACGAGCAATATAGAAAGAGAGGTGTTCCTGTAAGTCTCCTAAATTTTCATTTCTATCGTGAACCCAGAGCATGTTATCATTTGAAAAAAATTTAATTCGTTCCTAAAAGAATGGTAATAATTCATGAGTCGAATCTGCTCCAAAAGAAAGGGACGTCTGCATAAAGAATGGTAATTTTCGCGTGCCGGTTGTGGATAAGGCCTAGAGTGTTTAACGAACTTTGACAGTCGAGAAAGCCCCGCTTATACGATTCAACAAGGACTTCCAGACATAAAGAATGGTCGTCTCTCATGAGCTCTGTCCACCTTTATTCCTCGACGGAAACAACTCCAGTGGAGCACCCACAGCTTTGAATATTTTCGTGGTATTTTTGAACTGTATATTTTTGCTGATGTCATTGATATCAAACGCACTTGTTGTTTTTGTAATATAATACCAGCCTTCACTTCGCGCTTTAGCCAATATCCTCGTAGCATCTCAAGCAAGCGCCAGTGTTGTGGTTTCAATCTTTGCACAAGCGTCATTGATCGTATTGGAAATCGAAGAGATCCTTGGAAATGGGAATGGCTATTGCATGTCTCAGTTGATAAATATTATAGTGTCAATAATTTGCATTTTACTTTCCTTCTTCTCTGTTTTGGGAATGGTAGCAGATCAATACTTGGCTTTGCAGCATTCAGTGTGGCATGCCGCAAAGATTACACCGAGAAATGCAGCCTTTATAGTTCTCTTGGCATGGTTGGTGACCGCTTTGACATGTTCTCTGCTTGCTGCCTTTGGCGGAGCAGAATTATTTGTACTTGTTACAATATGCCTGGCTGTATTTGTCGTCTTTTCCACTCTCCTACTAAATGTCAAGAATTATCTAAGAATTCGGCAATATTTCATGCAGGTTCAGCAACAACTTGAGACTTCCTCCAATATACCTATGGGTGGGATCAATACGCCAAATATAGCTCGTTATCAGAAAGCTGCAAACATGGTCTTCTTTGTGCAGTAAATGGTTTGAGCCCGGGGGTAACATGTGAAGGTGTAGTCTGATTGTCCGGGTGAGTGTAGACAACTCATTACGAACGACAACAGTCCTTTCCAGGACTACACTCACCCGGACGATCAGACTACACCTTCACATATTACCCCCGGGTTCAAACCATTTACTGCATAGTAGGATTTGTATAATACTTTTACAGAGCGGAAATTGAGCTAGATCACACAGAGCTTCCCTGGAAAATCAGTAACATCATGTGATATGCGCTGGTTTTAATAATTTCATATTTTAGCTCTGGTGTAATAATTATTAAAATGACCAGCTAGGGTGAATCACGAGTACTGCTCTCAAAGTAGAACATGGAGCGGCCATGACAAGCGGGATGAGGTTTGGCTCTATAGGGAAGTTTTTTTAGGATGCTTTAATCATGTGCGAGAAGTTTTCTAATCCTTTCCCAACATAAGCTTGCCTGCCAGGTCGGAAATGTAAGAGATATTTGTTTTTGAGGGTCAGATTTCGCACGCTACAAAGCAAACAAACCTTTTCATTGAGATAACCAATAGCAATGCTGGTTAGTCGGAGAAGCCGGAGGGGAGTGTATCCCGCCCAATTTTCTTATGTTTAATACTTTTATAATGCTCAAATCAAAGTTTATACTTCCATATTTAAACTCCACATATAAAATGTAAATATCCCACACTGCTTGTTCGCATTTTCTTGTTTCAGCTCGCACACATTCAATATCGAGATATGTTTACATTCAAACATTTTGCTTTCACGAGCGAAATGTTCTGAGGCTGCTACTGTGCGAAACAAACCAGAAAGTAGTTAGGAAGGGGGGGGGGTTTACTCTTTTATCAGTCACCTTAAGGTGGAGGCTCAGTAGTTTTTAATCAAAACGCAAGGGAGGACAAACACTTTAAAAAAAAAAAATTAAAATTCCCCAGCCTTTCCCCCGCGAGAGAAAACGTACCTTCTCTTTCTGAAAATCGGGCGGACGCACTGTTACCCTACGTGTAACCGTACATTCCCCCTNNNNCATACCTATCGTGAAGACTTCGTAAAGTATTATACAGCGACGATGTTGATACTGATGGCAGTGTGGCCGAGTGGTCAGCGTGTCGGACTTCCAATCCGCCGCTCCCGGGTTCGAATCCCACCCTGACCACTACCTGGATTTGTTTCACGGTAGCTCCGAGTTCAAATCCTGAGCCATGCTTGTAAATAGCCAACTGGTTTGTCTTCGCCAGATGGGTTTATTAATAATGTTATTTTCAATTTAAATTATTTGTTTTAGCTGTTTGGTGGAAAACCTGTAAACTAGCTTTCAGTTAAGTGTTTCTTCACGTCATATAAAGATTATTACTGGGGCACTACCTGGGCAACTAAGTATTTTGGAGGTTAAAGTAGAAAGTATCATGCTCTGACGAAATCCTGTTGGCGATCTCAAAGTTTCCAGAACCAGACAATAAGCTAATTCAGGAGGTCCAAAATATCTGTAAGCTGCTTACCGTAAATCTTGCCACCAGCGCTGCTGGTGAGCTTTCGTTTTCATTTGCACGGCGTCTGGGGACGTGGCATCGATCCAGGATGGGTGATGAAAGGTTTAGCAACCTAGCAGTGTTAGAATGGCCAGAAACAGGAATGGGGGACGAAAATTTTAGCAACCTAGCAGTGTTAGAATAGCCACAAGCAAGGAACAGACAGTGTCTCATTAGCTGACGTCGCACTGGAGTTTGTTTCCCGCAATGAGAACCGAAAGTGAAATTTCAGCACTGCGAAAAGCTTCAAAATGTAGCAAGGGTACGTAGGCTGTATTGGATAGTATAACAAGTGAGGACGTCTGTATTATCTCTATTAAGGCTGTTAGTAAGATGGCGCTCAAGTGCAAGATAAATGACGAACGCTTCCTTAGCGTTGGTTTGTACTGGCCAGTTTTTTTAAACCCTACCACTTTAAAATGGTCCCCACGCTCCCTGAGAAAATATGGCAATTAAGTGCTTCCAGGATTTTTTTTTAAGCTGAATTGTGAGTCAATACAGAAAACATAACCGGTCTAAAATAGATTTGAAGGTCTCGATGCCGTAAAAAAAAATTAGTCGTTAGGAGTAAAAAATGACAAACTTTAACCGTTAGTCGTAAAAAAAAACATTGTACCTTCTTATTTTAATCACAACGAAACAAAAAATAGCGTTAGCCAGTAAATGATCAGAATTTTAACCGTCAGTCGTAAGAGCCATTTCCCCATTGAGACCCTCAGCCATAGGATAAACTGCATGAAAAACATAGGTTGATGTAAAACAATTCTTGTTAAAATCGGCATAAAACGTTATCTATACGACTGTATTATTTAGAGTGAAGGGACGTTAGGGGTCATCCGTTAAGCGGATGACCCCTTACAACCTTGAAAGTCGACGACTCG